GGTACCCTCAGTTATTTCTAATGTAGATTATGAGGCTCTTGCAATAGAAGGTATAATTTTGCAAACAGGGCCATCTTCCCTCTTCATAATAATCAGATAATTAGGCTGGGACTTGTGTCTGATTGATTGCTATGTTTTGGGGGTAAGGATGAGAGATTGTGGAATTGTGGTGGGAATTGTGGATGAGATGGTAGTACAGGGGATTCCTTCTACTGGAGGCAGAGAGCAATGATAGGAAATATTAAAGCATATTAAATATAGACATCTACTTTGAAAAGAAAGACACAAGCTTGCAGGGACCAGAGACAGAGTAGAAAATCCAATCTCTGAATGGACAGCTGATATTTTGATGTATTTGGGGCACTGAGACTAAAATATATAATGGCAGCTGGGATTTCTGTTCTTTTGAGGGGGCTCAAAATCAGCCCATTGCCAATCATCAGAGGTTGAAGAGGCAGTGACGACTATTTCAAGGTTGTACCTGTGGTTGATCAGGAAAGACAGGTGGAAACTGCAAATGACCAGTTGTGATTTGTGACATGTAATTGCTTGGGGATTAGACCTGTGACGTTCTAGAGTTCCAAAAGCCATGGCTCTGAGTTGTTTTCCACTAGGAAGTGGAAATTATAAAAAATTATAACTGTGAGATGAAGAAGATGAATTCTCACTCAAAAGGCACCCACCAATGAAATGACCAAGCATATGCGGCAATCCAAAGTGATGAAAGAACAAAGAATAGGAGATTTTACTTGTGAGGAAATTGAATTAAGGGAGCCATTAATTAATGTTTAAATAATTTCAAAACATAAAGGATGGAATACCATCCATGAAACAAAAATAGGAGTTTATAATACTAAGTGGGGAAGTTTTGAAACAAGAATAAGGAAGTAAAATCTTGAAAAAAATTCTTTGAAATAAATACATTCTTGTAGAAGTATAAACAGAAGAAACTTGATTAAAGTATTAATTGGATTAAAAAATAGAAAGCTGGAGTTGACAAAGCATACAGCACATGATATTAAGATGTTAAGAGTCATGGGAGATTGAGCAGTGCCACTATTTATCTGATTGGATTTCCAGACATGAGGATGTGTTTTTTTTTTTAATTAATTTATTATTTTTGGCTGTGTTGGGTCTTCGTTTCTGTGCGAAGGCTTTCTCTAGTTGCGGCGAGTGGGGGCCACTCTTCATCGCGGTGCGTGGACCTCTCACTATCGCGGCCTCTCTTGTTGCGGAACAGGCTCCAGACGCGCAGGCTCAGTAGTTGTGGCTCACGGGCCCAGGTGCTCCGCGGCATGTGGGATCTTCCCAGACCAGGGCTCAGAACCCGTGTCCCCTGCATTGGCAGGCAGATTCTCAACCACTGCGCCACCAGGGAAGCCCGAGGATGTGTGTTATTACAAGAGATAGAGCCTAAGATTTTGTGGGATTTCAGGCAAGAGATAATTTCCCATATTGATAGTTAACCAAATCCATCGAGCCAAATAAAAATAGAATCTACCCCTAGAGATGTTACAGTAAAACTGTAGGATGCCAAAGGAAAAGAAACATTTTAAAATATGCTAAAATGTCAAAAAATACTTAGGAATAAGCCTGACCAAGGGCGTTAAAGACTTATATGCTGAGAACTATAGAACACTGATAAAGGACATTGAAGATGATTCAAAGAAATGGAAAGATATCCCATGCTTTTGGATTGGAAGAATCAATATTGTAAAATGGCCATACTCCCCAAGGCAATGTACAGATTTAATGCGAGCCCTATCAAATTACCCATGACATTTTTCACAGAACTAGAACAAATAATCCTAAAATTTATATGGAACCATAAAAAACCCAGAATTGCCAAAGCAATCCTGAGGAAAAAGAACAAAGTTGGAGGCATAACCTCCTTCTTCAGACAATACTACAAAGCTACAGTAATCATAATAGTGTGGTATTGGCACAAAAACAGACATATGGATCAATGGAACAGAATAGAGAGCCCAGAAGTAAACCCACACACCTACAGTCAGTCTTTGACAAAGGAGGCAAGCATATACAACATAGAAAGACAGTCTCTGCAGCAAGTGATGTTGGGAAAGCTGGACTGCTGCATGTAAATCAGTGATATTAGAACAGTCCCTCGCCATTCTCTCACACACTACCAAATGTAAAATAGATAGCTAGTGTGAAGCAGCCGCATAGCACAGGGAGATCAGCTTGGTGGTTTGTGATCACCTAGAGCGGTGGGATAGGGAGGGTGGGAGGGAGGGAGACGCAGGAGGGAAGAGATATGGGGACATATGTATGTGTATAACTGATTCACTTTGTTATAAAGCAGAAACTAACACACCACTGTAAAGCAATTATACTCCAATAAAGATGTTAAAAAAACAGTCCCTCACACCATACACAAAAATAAACCCAAAATGGCTTAAAGATTTAAATATAAGACATGACACCATAAAACTCCTAGAAGAGAACATAGACAAAATATTCTCTGACAAAAATCGTAGCAGTGTTTCCATAGGTCAGTCTCCCAAGGCAATAGAAATAAAAGCAAAAATAAACAAATGGGACCTAATCAAACTTACAAGCTTTTACACAGCAAAAGAAACCATAAACAAAATGAAAAGACAGCCTATGGATGGGGGAAAAAATTTGCAACTGATGTCACTGACAAGGGCTTAATTTCCAAAATATACAAACAGGTTATATAACTCTATAACAAAAAACCCAAAGAATCCAATCAAAAAATGGGCAGGGCTTCCCTGGTGGCGCAGTGGTTGAGAGTCCGCCTGCCGATTCAGGGGACACAGGTTCGTGCCTGGTCCGGGAAGATCCCACATGCCACGGAGCGGCTGGGCCCCTGAGCCATGTCCGCTGAGCCTGCGCATCCGGAGCTTGTGCTCCACAACGGGAGAGGCCGCAACAGTGAGAGGCCTGCGTACTGCGAAAAAAAAAAAAAAAAAAGGGCAGAAGACCTAAATAGACATTTCTCCAAAGAAGACATACAGAAGGCCAAAAAGCACATGAAAAGATGCTCAACATCACTAATTACTAGACAAATGCAAATCAAAACTACAATGAGGTTATCACCTCACACTGGTCAGCATGACCATCATTAAAAAGTCCACATATAATAAATGCTGGAGAGGGTGTGGAGAAAAGGGAACTCTCCTACAGTGTTGAAGGGCATGTAAATTGGTGCAGCCATTATGGAGAACAGTATGGAGATTTCTTAAAAAACTAAAAACAGTTGCTATATGGTCCAGCAGTCCCACTCCTGGGCAAATATCCAGAGAAAACTCTAATTTGAAAAGATACATGCACCCCAGTGTTCATAGTATCACTGTTTAAAATAGCCAACTGGCTACTTCCTTGGTGGCGCAGTGGTTAAGAATCTGCCTGCCAGTGCAGGGGACACGGGTTTGAGCCCTGGGCTGGGAAGACCCCACATGCCACCAAGCAACTAAGCCCGTGTGCCACAACTACTGAAGCCCACTAGGCTAGAGCCCACGAGCCACAGCTACTGAGCCCACATGCCATTACTGAAGCCTGCGTGCCTAGACCCCGTGCTCTGCAACAAGAGAAGCCACCGCAATGAGAAGCCTGCGCACTGCCACGAAGAGTAGCCCCCACTCGCTGCAACTAGAGAAAGCCCACATGCAGCAACAAAACCCAACACAGCCAAAAATTAAATAAATAAATAAATAAATGAAAAAAAAATAGCCATACATGGAAGCAACCTACTAAATGCCTATCTACAGATGAATGGATAAAAAGATGTGGCATACCTATACACTGGAATACTACTCAGCCATAAAAGAGAATGAAATGATGCCATTTGCAGCAACATGGATGGACCTAGAGATTATCGTACTAAGTGAAGTAAGTCAAAGAAAGACAGATATCATAAGTTATCACTTATATGTGGAATCTAAAATATAATACAAATGAACTTATTTACAAAACAGAAATAGACTCACAGACATAGAAAACAATCTCATGCTTACCAAAGGGGAAAGAGGGTGGGGGAGAGATAAATTAGGAGTTTGGGATTAGCAGATACAAAACTATTATGTATTCAATGTAAAACAGATAAACAAGGTCCTACTGTATAGCACAGGGAATTATATGCAATATCCTGTAATAAACCATAACCATGTAAAAGAATATGGAAAAAAATATATAACTTTGCTGTACACCAGAAACTAACACAACAATGTAAATCAACTATACTTCAATAAAAAATAAAACTAAATTAAAAAATGTGCTAATGAACAGCTGAATCAAATATAATAGGAATAACAACTTGATTGGCGGAGACCTCTTGCCTGCAACAACAATAAAAAATGGCAGAACAATGGAGTAATGTCTTTAAAGTACTTAAATAAAACTTTAGAATTAGGAATGAATATATAATAAAACATTTTCAGATATACAAGACTAAGAGAGTGTACTACGCAAAACATGCTGAGATTTACAAAACAAAGATAATTTACTACACATAGGGTACAGTGGAAAGAACTATTAACGTATATTCTTCAGCAAGAAGAAAATTGAGGCTAGACTTTGAGAGTGGAATATAAGAATAAAGAGGTAGAGAGGAAATGGTAAAGCATGTTGGTGAATATAAATACTATTGATGTTTAAGAAAACTGAAACCATCTTGTTTTCAGCTTTACCTGTAGATTTTATTTCTTTTATAAATATGTGAAACAAATATGGTAATTAATGTTTTATTTTTTAAAAATTTTATTTATTTATTTTTGGCTGCATTGGGTCTTCGTTGCTGCGCACCGGCTTTCTCTAGTTGCAGTGAGCGGGGGCTACTCTTTGTTGAGATGCACGGGCTTCTCTCTGGTTGCGAAGCATGGGCTCTAGGTGCACGGGCTTCAGTCGTGCCTAATGGGCTTAGTTGCTCCGAGGCATGTGGGATCTTCCCGGATCAGGGCTCAAACCCGTGTCCCCTGCATTAGCAGGCAGATTCTTAACCACTGCGCCACCAGGGAGGCCCCTAAATTAATGTTTTAAAAGTTAGAGGTTTGATTTACAAAAGAAAAAACTCAGGGTAGAATTTAAAAGGTATGAATAATGTGGAATAGCAGGAATGCAGACATTTCACATCAGTCTGTGAGTGAAAATAACCAGAGGAACAGATTTAAAAACGAAACGCGTATCCTAATACGTGCTGAAAACATCTGATAAAATCCAACATTTATTCATAATGAAAAGTGAACTTGACTGGAAGAGAACTTCCTCAGGTTAAGAGGAAGCTATGAACAAACATCATACAATTATGTATAGTAACCATCATACTGTTTTGCAGTTTTCCAGGAGAGAAGCTCAAAACACCAAGAAAGAAAAAAGCCATGGCTAAAAATCTTTATAAATTCACGGGAAAACACATAACATGAGAAATCCATTTATTTTTTGGTTTGGGGAGAAATAGGGTAGCAACGGTATGGTGCTGGAGAGAGTGGAATTTGAGAGAAAATAACTGATGCAAACGAGCGGGAATGGATGGGTCTGAGAATGATCTTGTAAAGAAGTCCAGATGTCTGAAAACACATTGTCCGGTATCCCTGGGCAGATTTTCCATTACAAAGATGAGGTCTAGAGTCTGCTTTCTTTTCCTGACGTCTTCTCCTGCTACTATAGCCAGTCTGGAGGGGAAAAGGAGTTGTTGGCACACGAAATGCTTAATTTCCAGGTTGTAGGACATTCAGTGTAAAAGACGCTGGGAAATCCATTGGGCCTCCAGGATGGTAGCCAGAATTTGTGTGTGTGTGTACCGGGGTGCAGTTCATTCCGGGAACAGACATCTCTGGGCCTTGCGCTTAGGACCATGGGGGTGTTGGGGGCGCTCGTGAGGACCCGGAGGACTCGGAGAGGGAGGTAGAGGTTGGAGTGGTGAGTCGGGGAAGGGCTCCAGAAGGTGGAAGCCCAGGTTGTCGTCGTGGTGAGGAGAGCCTTTCTCTGGACTAGGGGTGGGCGCCCGAGGCCAGGGCTCTGGGACAAAGCCCTGCGCGCTGGGGCCCGACACCCTTGCGGTGGGGCTGCGGAGCCCAGCGACGGAGCCGGCCTCAGCATCCATCCCAGGCGGCAGGAACTCGGCGTCTGCTTCCTCCTTGTTGGCCTCTTCTTGGCAGGCGATCTCTGGGACAGCTGCGCAGAAGAATCCCGGCGCCAGGGCCATGTACTCCCCGGGAGGGCTCAGGAAAGCGCCCCGTCCCAGGCCCTGTCCCCACGGGCCTTCCACACCCGAGCCCAGGAGGGCCTCGGGGACCAGCATGAGGATGTGATCTCCGAGAGACACTTGCAGCACGGACGTGGGCTCGGGCTCAAGGAGCACGTCGACGTCGTCTAGGGACAGGTGCAGGCCACAGCCGGCGGGCAGGACCACTACGGAAGTGAGCGCGTCCGCGGTCGGAGGTTCCGTCAGGTTGTCCAGGCTGGGCGTCGCCTCGGACTCGGACTCGGGGCCCTCGGGCTCCTCCGTGCGGCGGCGCTTGGCGGGGCCGGGTCCTTCGGCCTGCGGTCCCCACCAGTCCGCAGGGTAGGCACTGGGGCTGCGGGGCCGGCTGCCCATGACCTCGACCGACGGACAGCGCTCCCGGGGCCTGGCAGAGGGCGAGGGGGCGGAGCGCTCGATCCTGCACGCTGTGACGGGTTCCGACGACGGCTGAGGCAAGCCGGGGCGGGGCGGCGCGATGCGGGGACGGCAGGACTGCGCGATACGGGACGAGTCCTCGGAGCTCCGGGGCCGCCTCCCCGGGATCCTGCAGTTCAGGTTTCTAGGGGATCGGCGTCTGTCGCTAGGCTGGGCCTGGCGCCTTCGAATCTTCAGCTCCTCTCGCCGATTCGTCTACGCAACAGACAGCGAAAGATGTTGCAGGTGAAGCCAGTGGAATCCTAGTCGCAAAATGTCACGCTAAGCTCCGCCCCTTCCAAGGCTCCGCCCCGTAGAACTCGCGGTGTCTGTGCTGCCCAATAGCCGGGGCTGTGGTTGGTAGGAAGCTACTGTTGCAGTCCTACAGGGGGCAGAATACTCGTGTACTTCATTTTTAGAGGAAAAAAAGATACACCGGAAATGGAACTTTAAATATTAGTCACCTTTAAGGTTAATATTTTCCTTTGATTTCAGGCATTCTAGAGAAAAAAACCACTCAAATAGACCACCCCCTTGGCAACATAAAACGGACCTATCTAAATGTCCCATGAAATTCCTTTAATGCTTGGTCTTTCATTTCAGGAGTAAATGGAAAATACTCATATATGTTTAGGTAAAGTTCTGTCTTAGTAGTAAAATATTTGTGGCAGTTCCTTCCTGAAGATAAAAGCTGTTATAAAATTAAAACAATCTTAGTATAATTGTTTTATTCAGTATTTATTATGTCAGCCATTCTACTGAGGTTTAAAAAATGATCTTTTTTAAAAAAATTTTTTAATTTTTATTTATTTTTGGCTGCGTTGGGTCTTTGTTGCTGCGTGCGGGCTTTCTCTAGTTGCGGCGAGCGGGGGCTACTGTTCGCTGCGGTGCACAGGCTTCTCGTTGCGGTGGCTTCTCTTTGTTGCGGAGCACAGGCTCTAGGCACACGGGCTTCTGTAGTTGTGGCACACAGGCTCAGTAGTCGTGGGTCTTGGGCTCTAGAGTGCAGGCTCAGTAGTTGCGGCACACGGGTTTAGTTGCTCCACGGCATGTGGGATCTTCCCGGACCAGGGCTCGAACCCGTGTCTCCTGCATTGGCAGGCGGATTCTTAACTACTGCGCCACCAGGGAAGTCCAGAAAATGATCTTTTTCTTAAAAGATAGCCCAACACTTTGTTGAGGTATGACTGACATACAAAAAGCTGTACACATTTAATATAAACAACTTGAGTTTGTAGATAAGCGTACACTCGTGAAACTACCACCACAATCAAAACCATAAAAGTATCTATGACCTGCAAAAGTTGCTTCCTGCCATCTTTGAAAAAAAAATGATCTTTTTTACTTATCACTACACCTAAGCTCAGAGTGGTCAAGTGAGGTTTCAAAACTTAAATATGTACCAAGTTTGTGTTAGATATAGGCATCCAATGCAGACTTACCTGGTTTTAAATCATGAACTCTTAACTCATACATTTATTGCATACACCTGAGAGTGAATTACTAATTGGTCCTATGTGTGTCTTTTGAAGTTAATAGGTAGGGACTTCCCTGGTGACGCAGTGGTTAAGAATCTGCCTGCCAATGCAGGGGACACGGGTTTGATCCCTGATCTGGGAAGATCCCACATGCTGCAGAGCAGCAAAACCCGTGCGCCACAACTACTGAAGCCCGTGTGCGTAGAGCCTGTGCTCCGCAACAAGAGAAGCCACGGCGATGAGAAGCCCGCGCACTGCAACCAAGAGTAGCCTCTCCTGGCCTCAACTAGAGAAAAGCCAGCATGCAGCACCGAAGACCAGACACAGCCAAAAATAAATAAATTTAAAAATTATTAAAAAAAAAATTAAAAAAAGTGTTAATAGGTAATGCGTTCCTCTTTTTTTTTCCAAAATATTTTTCACAGTTTAAACTCCTGTGAGCGGAGTATGTTTCCATTTCATTACATCCTTGTAAACATTTCTTATTGATAGACTCTTAACTGTTTTCCAGCCTGGTGTAGTAAAATGCTATATCATTGTGTTCTCATTTTGCACTTCTGATTGCCAGTCAAGGTGGATCATTTTTTTCATATGCTTATTAGCCAATATTATATTTAATTCTTTGAAATATTCCGATCTTCTTTCTTTTTTTACTTAAAAAAATTAGGTTTCAACTTTTCCTCCAACTTTTTGCAGTGTTGGTTCCTTCTTCAAAGACCAACTCCGAGAGCACTTTCTTGAAAAGGGCATTTCTGACCATTTTGTTTGGAATGGTTTCTTCATTTATTCTTTATCTCATCCCTCTCTCTGTGGCCTTCATAGTATTACCACATTCTGTAAATAAACAAAATATTGTTTAAAGAAATTGGGGTTCAGTCATACTAGTACCAGTCACTTATCAAATGTATGTGTAGCAAATGTCTCTGTCACAGTCTTTGAAGACTTTAGCACTTGATTCACTGTAATTCTCACTCATTCCACATCTGCTATAATTTGTGGTGAGTTTAATATTGTCATGGATCCCTCCTCCCCCCACATCTTGGCTTCTTAGTTCTCTTCCTCTTCAGTAATTTTGTCCTCCCTCCTACCTCGACTCATACTCTTTACCTTGTCATTATGAAACTTATATGATAGTCATCAGTTACATCCATTAGACTATAACTTAATTAGTAAATAGTAAACTGTAAACTGCCTTCACTGGTCAAGCTCACTTTAACTGTTTGTACAAAAACTTGCATATCCTCCAAGCATCATGAAGCCTAAACGATAAGCTACAAGACCTCTTCACGACCCCTATAGATAAGTACCTCTGATGTAAGAGTCTTAAGATGTTTGCCCGAGTCTTTTTCTTGGAACTTGGAGTCAGTTGTCCAGTTTGAACGTCAGCTGGTTAAGACTGGTTGGGACAACCGACTCTCCCCTCGGGCATGCAAGAGTGTCTGATCGGTGGCCGTTTGATGTCAGAGAGCCAAAACCTCCACCCTAAAAATAATGCTGCCATTTTCTGAACATGCATCCTCTGAAGAAGCATGTAGCTTAGTTGCACCTGCCGAGAATAACGGTACCTCATCTTTTTTAAAAAAATTAATTAATTAATTTAATTAATTTATTTTTGGCTGTGTTGGGTCTTCGTTGCTGCATGCGGGCTTTCTCTATTTGCAGTGATTGGGGGCTTCTCTTCGTTGCAGCGTGCAGGCCTCTCATTGCGGTGGCTTCTCTTGTTGTGGAACACGGACACTAGGCGTGTGGGCTTCAGCAGTTGTGGCACACGGGCTCAGTAGTTGTGGCACGCAGGCTCTAGAGTGCAGGCTCAGTACTTGTGGCTCATGGGCTTAGTTGCTCCGAGGCATGTGGGATCTTCCCTGACCAGATCTCCAACCCATGTCCCCTGCATTGGTAGGCGGATCCTTAACCACTGTGCCACCAGGGAAGTCCCGACCTCATCTTTTTCTAATTTTCAGCCACCTTTCACCACTCTCCCTGCACCTCAGGCCACCCTAATTCTTTATCCAGTATATATCCCTATCTCCTGGCCTTTGGGGAGATAGATTTGAGATTTGTTCTCCTTTCTCTTTGCTTGACTGCCTTGTGAGTAAACCCTTTCTCTGCTGCAAACCTCTCTATCTCAGAGTTTGGCTTTCTGTGTGTTAGGCAAATGAACGTGGCTCAGTAACAATTACTCCAAATTGTGACCCCTCTATAAGCACAACTTAAAACATTTATTCTCAGAGTACTGGCTACCTCCTAACTTTATAGCTTAGCCCTTTAAATATCCAAACTCCATCCATCCTTATGCCCTTCTGGAAAAATTTATCTTTTCAGTGAAACTTAAACTATCAGTTCTTCACTTCCCTTCGTAACTGGAACCTAAATTCCAGAGATAGTCACTTTAATCATTGCTGTATTTATATCTTTTTTGAAAATTATTTTTTTTGAGGTAACATGTGTTTATAACATTATATAAGTTTCATATGGAAAATATTATATTTCTACTTCTGTACACACTACAGCATGCTCACCAACAAAGATTTAGTTCGTATAGTCACCACGGAGTTGATCCTCTTTATCCATTTCATCCTTTCCCCTCTGGTAGCCACTACTCTGTTCTCTGTATCTACATGTTTGTTTTTGTTTGGTGTGGTTTTTTCATTTACTTTGTATGTTTTTTTATATTCCATATCTATGTGAAATCATATGGTATTTGGCTTTCTCTAGCTGACTTATTTCACTTAGCATAATACTCTCAGTGTCCATCCATGCTGTCGCAAATGGCAAGATTTTATTTTTTTCTATGGCTGTATCTATATTGTATATATTGTGTTTCACATCTTCTTTATTCATTTATTGGTTGATGGGCACTTCAGTTGTTGCTATATCTTGACTATTGTAAATAATGCTGCAATGAACATGGGGGTGCATAAGTGTTTTCAAGTTAATGTTTTCATATACTTTGGATAAATACTCAGAAGTGGGACAGCTGGATCATATAGTAGTTCTATTCCTGAATTTCTAAGGAATCTTCATACTGTTCTCCATAGTGGCTGTGCCAGTTTACATTCCCACCGACACCGCATGAGGGCTCACTTTTCTCCACATACTCGCCAACACTTTTAATTTCTTGCCTTTTGATAAAAGCCATTCTAACAGGTATGAAGTGATATCTCATTGTCGGTTTTTTTTTTTAGTTTTTTAAAAAATTGAGGTATAATGGAGTTACAGTATTATGTTTCAGGTGTACAAGATAATGATGAACAATTTCTAAAGATTATACTCCATTTATAGTTATTATAAAATATTGGCTATGGTCCCTTGTCTGGCGGTCCAGTGGTTAAGACTCCATGCTTCCAGTGCAGGGGGCCTGGGTTCAGTCCCTGTTCAGGGAACTAAGATCCCCGTGTGCTGTGGGGTATGGCCAAAAAATAAATATTGGCTGTATTCCCTGTGTTGTACAATATATCCTTGTAGCTTAATTACTTTATACATAGTAGTTTGTACCTCTTAATCTCTTACCCCTATCTTGCCTCTCCCCACTTATAACCACTAGTTTGTTCTCTATATCTGTGAATCTGTTTCTGTTTTGTTATATTCACTAGTTTGTTTTATTTTCTGGATTGCATGTTTAAGTGATAACATAACAGTATTTGTCTTTCTCTGTCTGACTTATTTCACTATGCATAATACCCTACAAGTCTATCCATGTTGTTGTAAATGACAAAATTTCACTCTTTTTTTATGGCTGAGTATATACATACACACACACACATGCATATATATATCACATCACATCTTCTTTAGCTGTTCATCTGTTGATGGACACTTAGTTGTTTCCATATTTTGGCTGTCATAAATAATGCTGCCATGAACATTCAGCTGCATGTATCTTTTCAAAATAGTGTTTTTGTTTTCTTTAGATATATACCCAGGAGTGGAATTGCTGTATCATATGGTAATTCTATTTAGTTTTTTGAGGAACCTCCACACTGTTTTCCACAGTGGCTGCACCAATTCACATTCCCACCAACAGTGTACATATGGGTGTTCCCTTTATTTCACAACCTAGCCAACATTTGTTATTTGTGGTCGTTTTGATGTTAGGTGTTCTTACAGGTGTGAGGTGGTATCTCATGGTGGTTTGATTTGTATTTCTCTGACGGTTAGTGATGTTGAGCATCTTTTCATGTGCCTGTGGGCCAACTGTTATGTCTTCTTTGGAAAAATGTCTGTTCACCTCTTCTGCCCATTTTTTAATCAAGTTGTTTTCTTTTTGATATTGAGTTGTATAAGCTGTTTATATATTTTGGATATTAACTCCTTTTGGTCATCTCATTCCCAAATATTTTCCC